ATGGATGGATGGATAATTTTGGGGACTTATGACCGCTAGCCAATGAACCTAAACAAAATTGAACCAAAATACCCAAATATGTTCAGAAATACGCAAAAGACTTCTTGGGCATAGTTATTTCTGTATGGATAATAACGAGTTTATGCGTAGCTTACCTTCACTATGATCGACTTTTTCCCAACAAAAATTCAGATAAATTTCACTATTTTATAGACTTGTTTGATTATTTTGCAAATAGACGACAATCACGATGACTAAACACGTACAGAAAACACTTTTACAAATCAATCGAGTCTCTTATCCAATAAATATTGGTCATTTATTGTTCGGTGACTTTTCGTTGAGCTCCGCTTTTGTTGAAACGCTTGGTGTAATGTTGCTGTCATTTATCATGCTTTTTCCAGAGGGCGCTGGTACGTTTCCTACATGAACCGCCAGTTTTAAATAAGGAAATTGATTAATGTCCAATTGGATTGCAATAGTGTACGGGTTCAGATTGGATTCGGAAATTCGAATAATACTTACTTATTTACAACCATTTTTATTCGCATATACAAATTAAACAAATCCATAGATCAGTGCTGTAAAAACCAAATTGGTCGTATGAGAATCAAGTTCAATTAAAATATTTTGGCAAAATATTATACTTTCAAATTTTTATTCATGAAATAAGTTTGTTAATGAGATGAAACATCAATTTTCACAGACATTTAGTTTTAAACGGATTGCATTACAACCTAAATCATAGAAATATTATCAATGGAAATTCGGTTGAAAAATGAAAATTTTGTGTAGAAAAAATGAAATTGTGGCAGAATGCTCGCAACGAATTCAAATTTGACTGAATTCGAGTGAACGAATAACACCACCTTTCATGCGATCATTTTCAGCATAGCGATAACGATGTTCCTTTTCGTCATTATGAAATTTGATGACAATTCCTGGTTCAATGTTCACCTCGTCAGATACGTATTCAAAGCTAGTACATATCGGGTAACCGCAATCAGTCTCTTGCTCAAATATGATTTGATACTTAAATCCGCGACGAATGATGATCGGTTTGGGCAATTGAATGCGGCCGTTTCCTTTACCTTTGAATTTGAAGTCTTTATCATCGTGAAGAATGTGTGAAACTTCCTCGCCATCAACTTCACGGATTTCCATGATCGTCAGATGGCTTTTCCAATCTTCATATAACTCTTCAATCCATTTGTATTTTCTGAAATATTGAATTCCAGTGCAAACGATGGCTTTCAGCAGCAAATGTTCGTTGGTTGAAAATGTTGTGACTTCATGTTCCTTGATATGATATGGTTGTTCTTCATCAACGTCATCAGTTTCTCGTGAGCACTCAAACGTCTGAGTCTGTGCGTCTTGACGTCGATTTTCGTTGAAGAACTTGGGTTTGTGTGTGTCAGTGGTGATCATTTGCACAATGTCCTTGTGTTCGTCAGCCGTGAAAACGGATGTCATCGAATACGAATCAAAAATAGCGGCGAACTCCTCCATTTTCATGGAACCAAAGCGAATGTCGTAGAATGAGTCGCCGAGATGAGCTTGAACCGCTTCCTTGGTCAATGTGTCTTTTTTACTGGCTGCTTTGACCCACGCCATGCTCGCATCGAAGACTTCAGCCTCAGGACATGACAGTGTATCCAATTTCAATATGCGGCCAATGGTTTTCTGGTCACATTTCAAGAAGCCAGGTGACTTGAGCACTGCCGTAGCGTTGATACTGATGCTGGCCTCACACAGACGTTTCAATTCGTCAATATCAAAAAGTGTTGCGGTTCCGTATACCATGCAAACGTTTTCGACCGTCAGATTGTCTTGCAAAAATAGGTCACAAACCTTTACACATTCGGTCACGAGGTACATTTTCCCCAAATTGATGACCTCTCCGATGTTTTCGGCAGTCAATCTGATTTCGTCCAGGTAGAAGAACTGTAGAAACTCCTTGAAACCGGCGGCTGTAGCGTCAACGATGGGAACTTCATTCTTCTCTTTCCATGTTCCACTGAACATCGCGCGAAAAGCTTCGCTCACAGCCGTCAGCAGGATTTTGTGCGCCGGCACACGTTCGGGCTTAGCATTTTTGGATTCAAACAGAAAGTGTACATCGGCTGTATCGTCTTCCAGGTACAACTTTTTGCCAGCTGAAGACAGAGACTTGCTGTTATACTTGCCGATCGACATTGTGAATTCAATGGATTCTGCTCAAAATCGTTATTCTGTTGAGGCTAGAATATGTATCGATATAAAAAATATTGGTCTCACGAAGATAAGTTATATTCTTAAATCTCATTGCTCACCCTTCTTGCCCTGCAATGTGCCTGATGAAAATGAGTCGATAAATTGCGAAATACCTTTGATTTGAGGTTATGCGACACTGGGTGTGGTGAAATACCTATAAATCACATAGAAAAAATCCACAAAAATATCACACCATGGTCTTAAACATGAGCACAAGTTATATTCTTATTTTTCATCTATTTTCGCTAGTGTAGTGGTGTGTGTTCGATAAAGGGTTTCAATGATAAGCTAAATGTGCAAATGAGTGACAATTGTATGTTCTATAAAGCAAAGACAAATTTCAATTTCAATGTCCAAATAAAGCATAATTATGTTGGTAGCTTTAGTCACTATTATTTTATGCATTTTTCAGCTTAAATGCAAAATTTTGAAATGATTAATAAACAAGAAAACTACACGTATATTGTACGATGTTCGGGCTACCTTCGAATCAGTTTTTACTTTTGTAGGATATTCTACTGACAATTCACCAGAATTTTTGTGGTGCTACAATATCTTTGAATGCTTTTGATTATTTTTGTGACACGATAAATCCGTGTGTTAGGAAGAAAATCGTATTTTTATTCGGTTCTAAACTCACAGCTTTGTTCTGCACTCAATTGCGTTGAACCGCACGATAGGAATGGCGTCTCTGTTATGGTGCTCGCTTGTTACATAGTTTCTGGCACCATGTTAGAGTGCGCTGTCGTCTCATTTTAAATTACATCAACAAAGTGAATATTTGCATAACAAAAAACATGTTTTGTCTAATCTGAATTGTAGTATCATTTCATAACACATCCTTTACATTAAAAACACTTGATTGAAACTAATTCTCTATGAAAAATTGAAATGGGAACGACTTCCTAGACAAACAGTTTGGAATAATTTATTCTTATTTTTCATGCTTATTTCATACGTAGATCTTTATTTGTGTTTATACATAGCATACATGCTACTTTAAAGAAAATTACACAGAATACAACGGTATTCTTTATGTTCGAAACGGGACAAAAGCAAAATTATAAACGACCAAAACCGAATTACGTAGTAGAAAAAATCTAATTTTAAAATGCGCTCCGTTCAATGTTGAGATCAGTACGGAAACCGTATGTTTTCAAGCATTTTGTACTTGTGGCCACCTTCCAATCGGGCAATGCTTCGGAAATCTCTTTAGCGACAGCATTTCGTCTCGGGATGATGCCATAATAGAATCGAATGCGCACTTTGCGTAGCGCGCTGCAATTCAAAATGAGTAGTTTTAGAGCTTCCACACTAAATGTGTCGACGTATTCGGTGATTATTATTTCCTCCAAGTTCTTGAGTTTGTCAGCAATTTCCTTCAATTCATCGTCAATGTTTCCGTACTTTCGATCAGGGTTGAAGTTCAATTTGGATAAGTGCTCCGCTCCTGTCACGAAACTCAGAACGGCAGCCTTTGAGCTTGCGAACCCAAACAATTCCAAATCTTTGAGTTTGGCAAAAGACAGTGGAATATTTCGCAACGGTGCCGATTCATGTTGGCAAATCACTAGGTCTGTAACGTTTTCGAAGTGAACGATCCTGGTTCCAATCGATGTACTAAATTCGAGGTCGTACAGTTCCATTTGTGTCAATTGTGGCATATTTTTGTTGACTGTCTGCAAGAATTCGATGATGAGGTACTTCTGACCGCCGTAATCATTCACCAAATTGGCCATTTTGATGTTTGGAAGAACGAAGGTACTGAAAATGAATGCGAATTGAATGTTGTTGTTCGATAATAAATGCAACGTTTGATCAAAATCCTCTCGAGAATTCTAAATCTTACCCAATTTTCTTTGCCATCTTGATCAGTTGTGGTGAGGCTGTTGAGCTGTTGAGAAAGTGCTGATGATCACCAAACCCACGACGATCTACAACAAGTTGGTGCACATTTGGGAAATTGCTCATTGTCAGTGCGATTTTCGATGTGAGAATACAGTTTTTAAGGCAGAGTCGTTTCAATTTCGGGAATGGCTTACGGAGCTTGTTGAACGCATCACCGCCATTGTACTCGAGGATGAGGTGCACCAACGAGTCACTGCAATGTTCCATAACCAACCGTTCGATGGCTTTCCAACGGCGTGTATCAGCAGTTTTGTCATTTTCGGCATAGTCGATTTCGAGCGTTGACACCAAGTGACCAAATACGCGTATGAATCGCTCAGCATCAATTGTATCGGCGATATTAATTGGCAATGCCTTTGGATGGTTCTCGATGTCATCACGAAAACTGGCCACCACCTTATAAATTGGATTCGACTTTCCAGGGCCTTTCGACAGTTTCGATTTATCGACTGGAATTTCTTGCATGCTCAAACAAACTATTTTATCACCATGTTTCCGACTGTAAACCTCGCACGCAACACGGTTCACTTTTTTGTTAGAACCAATGATATTTATCAAGCCATTGATATTCATAACCTCTATTTCCCCCTCGTCAATTGTTTTTTGACGCTTGGCCGGCTCATATGCTTCGTCATCACGACCACGTTTCGATCGCAGTACACGTGACATTTTTCTTCTGAAAGAAAATGACAGTTTGAATTTTTTATGTAATTTTTTACTTTTCCAGCGGGAAAAAATATGGATTGTTTATTGAAAACACGAAAATGATTTAAAAATAAATAAATTTACTGAAATATATAACTAAAGCACTGAAAATTCCAGAAAGTATGTCTACCATGCAATTTTTTGTTCGTGCTAATATTTGGCGCAGATTTTTTTTGTAGATATTCTCAACTCAAACTTTTGTTTTCAATCAAATTTAATCAATTATTTATTCGAATGAAAAAAAATCACGTACCTGAGCTGGATTGTAATTCAGTTGAAATTATATCGGACTTTCACAAAGAGTGCAAACCTTCGTCTTGTACCTAACGAAATCGAATGAGTGAGTTGTGCAAACGATCTAGCAATAATTTGAAGTTGATGTCTTTGAACGCACTCTTAGTTTGACATTTATTTCGAATCGAAATTTTTGATTCGACTGAATCACAAAAGTGAGGTTAAACGTCAAAGAGTTTTTCAATCAAGCATTCTTTTACGCATCAACTCAAATCAATTTTAAATGAAACTACTGTAGAGTTTCAGAAGAAATCTTTCGGCTGAAGTAAACCAAGGCAGATTGTTTTGACAGAAGTTTTCCGTAGAATCGTATAGAAACTTACCTTAATAACGAGTAAGATGATTTTATGGAATATTCATTGAAGATCAAATTGTGCAATCTAATGAATTGAGAATATTCACAATTATAAACATTGATTGTCTCGACCTAGTCCATGTATTCATTATATTATTATATTATTCAGCCTTACCTCAAAATTATTCGGTTTTCAGCTTGGATTCACATTTTGGTCATGAGCAATAAAAGGAAGCGATGATGTCAATCATCCAAACGAGAGACTGGAGCAAATCGAAAGCGACCAGCAAATAACGTTGTCGTGGCATCTCATTTGAAGATTGTTGACGTCAACAGCGATTGCGTTGGACATGTGTTCAGCTATTTGGGTCTGATGGATTTAATCAATTTGGCGGAAGCCAACAAACAACTTGGACAAGTGGCAGCTACAGTTCTTGCCCAACGATACAAACGAAAAACATGGGAGTTTGACAGAACTCACTTTTCGGGGGATTGGACATATACAACGATTTAAATTTTCGATAATGCTATTATTATTGTAAAACCGGTCACAGCTTTCAGAATTGTACGCCTCTTAAAATTAAAATTTTGCCATCCCGAACGACAAGATGAAGAGCTTCTGAACTATGTCAACGAGCCCAAATTTAACGTATGCCGGAACAAAGAAGCCTTACAAAAGTGTTGAAGAGCTCAAGATTGTGTATGGAATGTTGAGCTCCGAGCAATCGCAATTCAATGAAATTTTCCCACAAGTTCGTCGATTGGAATTGTTATTTGTGGATATCCCCGATAGCACACGCTTTCAAACCAAATTCAATCAGCTTGAACACTTCAAAATAGTTTTTGGTACTGAACGTGGACTCACAAGACGTGACGTTAAAAATATCAGACGTTTAAACCCACAGCTACAAAGTTTTAACCTGTATGGTTTCTTCGAGTTAAAATTTTGGGACTTCGTCAGCAAGCAATTGAAACAACTCAAAGTCCTTATAATAGGGTAAAATCAGAATGAATTCAAAGAGTACCCAACCGACCCGATCAACTTCGAATGTGTCGAAACCCTCGTACTGCATATACGGTGCCAAACTCTCACATCTCACTGGGCCTCAATTTTTTCCAAGAAAATTTCGACAAAAATTGAGGACAAAAAATCTAACTTCTGCAAATGCGATCAACAGGAAACTTTCAGAATCTTATTTTTTCTCCAAAAAATGAAACCTCAGAAAGTTTGAAGCCAATCTGAATCGATTAACGGGTACCTCCCATACTAAATTGTCCAAAAATCGGTAAGTAGATTGGTTTCAAACTTTCAGAATCTCATTTTTCTCCCAAAAAATGAAATCCCAGAAAGTTTGAAGCCAATCGGAGACGATTTACGGGTACCTCCCATACAAAAGTGTTAATTTTTTGAGGTATTTCTTGGGGCATTTCACAAAATTCAACTCTTGAAGTTTTGTCAACAAAATTTTAAAAATTACGAAATAAATTCGTCTTACGTCGAATGACAATTTTTTTCGAGTGAATGAAACTATTCCAAAATCTTACTTTCCAGAAAGTATATTTATTCGTTTATTTCAGGACCAATCTAACGTTTCATTCAGTACAAAAAATGCTTTCCCCGTGTCTAGTTGGATTGCAATGGCATATTATTCACATTGAATCATACACATCAAGAGACTTTGCTGAAATGAAATTAATTGTTCAATAATTCAAATTCAACGAAAATGTCCACGCAAAAAAAAAATATTTCCAAACTTTTATTCGTTAAATAATAGTATTAATGAAAAGAAACATCAATTTCCAGAAACGAAACAAAACATTACAACCTTAATAAAATTACAATCGGAACAAACGAAAGGGGACTTATGTGACCAATAACGTTTTGGCTGGCACACGCTAATTGAATATTGCAAGATATTACCATTGATTTAGCATTTGAAATTAAAGTTGAAAATATTTTACAACTGATTGGTAGTAATGAACAACTCGAAAGATTCCACATGTACATGTAATAAATTTTGAGAGTGTTTAGTGAAAAAATCAGTGATATATAATATATCACATTAGATGCAAGCAATAAATTTTTCGAAGAAATATATTGAGCTTTTTCTTTTAATTAAAATTCAAAAAATCAAAAAGATAAGATTAAGTCAACAGATTTAGTCAAACAGATATTCAGCAAACCTTTGAATGCAACAATTTAAACAGTAAATGAAAAAAACTTAAAAAAAATGTGATTTTAGCCGACGCTGATATGCATTAAACAATTTTTCATTGTACAGTAATGTAAGTTGGATCCTATTTGAAATTTTTTGGCGTCAATATCTTATTTCGACCACTTACGATGACAATCGCAAATCACGGAAAAATTTGAAATTGATAATATTTTATTGGTTTGCTGATTATAAGTATTTATTAGAGCAAATATCTGTGTTCCGCCAAAAAAAATTGTTTGGATTGATTGAGGACACTCAAGTGTGATTCAATCATCCGTATGCAAACTGTAGAATGCTACTGCTTCTTCTTTTTAACACATACTGTAAGTCGCCATATTGGAAGAAATAATAACAATACACTATAAATATTCAATATAGCCGCTTCCATTGTGCACGGTTGTGTGTACGATAGTGTGAAGAAGAAGAAGTAGTAGCATGCACAAAAAGTGTATTGGTTTTCATACGGATGGATTCAATTGTATGGGATATTTTTAATTTTGTAATGATACAAAAATAAAAATAAAAAAATTAATTTTATTGAGAAGTAGGGGGAAGACGGGCTATTCGGATCACTCGACTTATCTCCGAAACGGTACCAGCACCGTGACATATGGAACCCACATTAAATGTGTTGTTATTTGCCACATATTTGGCAGCTAAAATGAATATGCAATGTGTGTGGGGTATGCCATAAAACGGCAAAAGTGTGTTTTGAGTCCTTTCGTCAAAATATTTTCATCACCACGGAATTCCGACTTTCTTGTTGTTTTGGTGAAGCAACGTATTGAAAGGTATTATATTCTGGAAGCTAATGTCGAGTATTATCTATGAATAAAAACAGTTTGGATAAATATTTGGTGCGTGATATTTTTTGGGGACAAAATTTCGAAAATGGTGCCTGGGGGCTATTCGGATCAGAACTTTTTACACAATTTACTGCTGTATATCAAAGTTTCATTGTTTCATTACGCATTTCATGTATTTTCAATGTAATGTTGATCATGTAATCCTGATATTGGTTAATTTTGAGGCTCATTTCTCAAATATTTCATGAATTTTCTGTATTTTTCGTCCTATTCGGATTCTGTTGAAATTTGTATAATTTTTTCGTGACCTATTTATTGTTTTCTATTTTATTTTGTTCATCACGTTTTATTTCAACATAATTGGCACTTGTGAGCATTAACAACATTTCGCCCCTTCTGTTTACATTTTTCGATGCTATTTCATACATTTTAGTATAATTTCATTCAATTAAGTTGAACACATCAACAACATTCCCTAATTTTGAAAACTTCAGTAATTAGGTTCCAATTAAACTGTTGAAATACCAGAAAAAGGACTCTAATTCCGCAAAATACTGATTCAGAGAGTGTTTTTATACTTAAAATGCGACGAAATGAGGGTGATCCGAATAGCCCCCACCTATGATCCGATTTGCCCCCACATGTACCGAATAGACCCCATGTCAGGAAGTCCAAACATAGGCCCATATCTCACTACCTGGACACCCAACACAAAAAGTTTATTTATGTAAAAGATAGCTTAGGAGAATGGCTTTCCAACGATATATAAAATGTGGCAGTTGGTGGTCATTTTCAAGACAATATGAGTGATTTCGAAAAAGTGATCCGAATAGCCCCCTCTCCCCTGCCACACTTCCGGTACTTATCCAAACAAATAAGATCTTAATCAAATTTACGTTACTTATATTTCAATTCTGTTTCTTTAAACTACTCTAAACTTAATTCGAAACGGAAATAAACAAAGCTGTCGTTTACAGACTAGTACATTAGCTCATTTTTAAACGAAAATCGAATTTTTTTTTTCAATGAACGAGATTTTTTTTTGTACCCTTATTTTGCATCAGATTAGCTTCAAATTAGTCAATGTTGTAGATTGTTATAATTATTATTTGTTTTTCACTTCATGGAATTCTCTTCTCTAGATATTGAAATCAATTTGAGCTGAATTCTCCTGAAAGTCCACTGAGTATCTCGTTTGCTCAATTGTGATCGACGACTCATTACTTGTTACTTTTTTCTTTCACCAACTTCTCGTGTACAGACAGTTACATTAACTTGTGATAACTTTCAAGAGATGAATTTTTATTTCGTTTCAATTGTTAGTTAACAAATGAAATTCAATGAATTTCATTCAGTTTTTTTCCGGAATTCTCGATTTTAAACTTGCAACTTATTTCCGAAAATATTTTAATTAAAACATTCTTTATTTGCATTATTATTAAAGATAACTGACAGAATTACACTTAAATTCATTCATTGTATGTCCTCAAAATGATAACTATATCTATCCATATCGATTTCCCTCCCTTTCCACGGAAATAAGTTCATTCTATCAACTTAGGGCAATTGCGATTTACTAATATGAATTACGTTTCAGTGATTTCGACCTTGACTGTAACAGTTTGCTTATCTTTTTTCCTAGCAAAGATCTATTATTTGGATTTTTTATCATTGTAAAATGATCACCGTCTACAGCAATAACATCAAAATTGGTTGAAAGATTATAATTTTCCCATCCGAGCATCGGAGAGTTGAAACATTTCCTAGAATCATCCACAATTTTCTTATAAACGTTATCCAAGTGTGCAGTAAACGGAAACAACGAATGCAAATCTACTGCCCTGAATAGATAGGTCTTAATAGGTAGTACATCGACTTGGACTGATGCACATAGCTTTTGATAATTGTGTTGCTGTTTCGCTAGCGATGCCTCCCATTCAAAATCTATATTTTTAAAATCTGTATTCATCTTCTTCATCTCGTCAACTGCTTCATTGAGAGTCAATTCTCTAACACGGGCTAACCATTTTAAATTATCCATCGATTTGAAAACTGGAAATTTGTGGAGTAAGGATGTCAAAAACGTCACAGTTTCGGTATTTGTATTCGTATTTGTATTTTCAACGGGTGCATATGTATCGATAAGGCCCAAGAATGAAACAGTAAAGCCACATTTTAGAAGTTGTTTTGTTATTTCATAAGCTAGAATACCGCCAGCTGAGTATCCAGCAATTGTATAAGGGCCATTTGCCTGAATAGTCCTTATAAGATAAATCATTGCTTTGGCCATTTCCTCGATGCATGACGGCTGTTCATTCTCAGGCGATGACCACGGTAGAACATAAATAGGATTATTTCTATCTATGTCATGGGCTAGTTCGAAAGCATAAGAAATATCTCCATAACCATCTGGCAACAAAAAGAGAGGTTTTTCGCTCCCGTATTGACGAGCTGGTATAGCGACATCACAATACAATCGGTTGGAACGGTTAGTTATTTGTTCGGATAAATCTTTGAGTATTGGAAAGGAGAATATACCACGAGCATCAATGTGAATATCACTGAGCTTAGCTTTGTTAGCGAACTTCATCACAAGCAGAGAGTGGCCACCCAATTCGAAAAAGTTGTCATGCCGGCTGATACTCTCAATGCTCAGCAGTTCACGCCAGATATCTGCTAGTTTTTCTTCCATTTCACCCTGTGGAGCTTCATACTGCTGACGAACAAACGCCTCATCATCTGGAGGCGGTAGTGCTCGACGGTCTAGCTTTCCATTGAGTGTGAGCGGCAAGGACGGTAGACACATGTAAGCCGCTGGTACCATATAATTAGGTAGTAGATTCGATAAATATGTGCGTAAATCTTGTGCTATTGATGTATCCGCATCGGCCACTATATAAGCTACCAGACACGCATCTGATCCATTGCCATAAGATTGTACGACCGCCTCTTGCACCTGCGGATGTTTGACTAAGTGAGTTTCGATTTCGCCAGGCTCAATTCTGAAACCGCGGATCTTTATTTGCTGGTCGATGCGCCCGAGATAGACCAAATTACCATCAGGCAGATATCGCGCTCGATCACCAGTTTGGTACATGCGTGCTGATGAATTGTCACTGAATGGGTCGGGTAGAAAACGTTCCGCGGTAAGTTTAGGTCGGTTCAAGTAGCCACGTGCCACACCAGCACCACCAATATACAATTCTCCCTCAGCTCCCAATGGTACTGGCTCGCCATGTGTATCCAGAAGATATATCTGAGTATTTGCAATTGGTCGCCCTATCGTTTCAATTACTTCATCATCTCGTTTGAACCTATGCAACGTTGAGAAAAATGACGTTTCTGTCAGGCCATAGAGATTACATAGCTCGTTGAGTGAAATTCGTGAGAAAATACGTTTGATCAAGCTGGATTTTAGTGGTTCGCCAGCCAATTGGAGATTACGGAGTGACATTGGTAAGGAATCATCATTGAGTATCGCTGCCATGGCAGAAGGTATCGTACTGATCATAGAAATTTTAGAGTATTTTGACAGTGCGATCACATTTGGTATGACATGTAATGTTGTTCCTAATGACAGTGATGCGAAACATTCATATAGAGATATATCAAAATTCACGGAGGTTGAAAACGAAGTATGCTCGAAATCGTCAGCTGTAAATGCCTCGTTGATCCAGTAAATGCAATTTATTGCATTTCTATGTTCAACCATTACTCCTTTCGGAGTTCCTGTTGATCCAGAGGTGTAAACGACATAGGCTAGATGGTTTGGAGTGATTCCAACTTTCGTAGCGACTGGATCATCGATTGGCAAATTGGTAGGCAATGGTTTGTCGAAGTCAATCGAAGGCATTTGATGGTCTCCGAGTGCTTTCCGGCCAGTAGCGTCGGTCAACATAAATGTAGGGCTAGCATCCTGTAGGATATGGGTCAGACGTTGACTCGGGTAGACCGGATCAAGTGGTACATAGGCGCCACCTGATTTTAGAATACCCAGTATGGCTACGATTGATTTGACACTTCGTTTGATACAAAGGGCAATACAATCATCTGGTTTCACTCCTTTTGCGATCAGGTAATGTGCTAGCTGGTTGGCTTGGGCATTGAGTTCACTATAGGTTAGAGTCACTCCTTCACATTCCACAGCAACAGCCTTCCCGTTGCGTTCTACTTGTTGCTCGAATAAATGGTGAAGGCAGTGGGAGTTTGAATAATTATCTGTGTTCTGATTCCATTGATGCAGCAGCAACATGCGTTCTTCTGGTGGCATCACTGTCAATGTTCGAATTGGTTGTTGGGGTGTTTGTATAAGCGTATCGGAAATTGATTCCAGAGCTTGTTTCATATAGGCACAAATTCGAGCCGCTGACATTGATGACACCACTTGGACCGACAATGTCAAAGTATCATCATTGTCATCTAGCGATATAGTCAACGGATAATTAGTTAATCCCTCACTTCCTAAGTAGGTGACTCCAGGTAATGAAGTTTCGAATTGGCTGGTCGGCTGATTATGACGATAGTTCAACAGTGCACTGAACAGAGGCAGGCCAGTTGGAATTCCACTGCAACGTTGTGCCAACACAAGCGGTGCGTGTTCGTGTGCCAACAATGTACTCAACCGAACATGGGTAGTGCGCACTGCGGTCACGACACTCGTCTCATCAATATCTAATCGCAGTGGGAGTGTGTTAATCATCGGTCCTAAGGCAATGTTATTCGCCTCTCCATCATGTAATCGGCCAAAGAGGACGGTCCCAAAAACAACTGCCTCGCGTCCGCTCGCTCGAGAAAGTACTTGTGCCCAGGCAAGATGACACAAACTAGACAGACTGACCCATAAATTCCTTGCATGCTGTTGTAATTGATCAATCAAATCTTTCGGCAATTTCAGCTGCACTTCACAAATATCAGACTCGTCCCAGCCACTATGGCTCAAACCAAATGGCAAAGTTGGCTCATCAATATCGCCAAGCATTTCACTGAAGATTCGTTTATGAGCAGCTGGCTCAAATCCTAAGCGAGCACATGAAACCGCTTCTCGGAATGGAATGGGGGTCATCAGTTTATCACTCTCGCCGTCAAGTATGGCATAAATTTCGTTGTGTAGTTGCTCCTGTGTACTATTGTCACCAATTATATGATGCATCAATTGTAATGCTATCCAGTTCCCGTCAGATGATGGCGTAGCCATCAAACGCAATAGCGGTGCTTGTGTCAAGTCTAATCGGTAATGACGCGGATTAAATTGCTGCCTTAACTGGTCAAATAGTGATTTAGTGGTATCTTCCAATTTAACCTCGGTGACAAATGAAGGAACCTGTCGCAAAACGACCTGTGCAGGCTCATTGAGACCTTCATTAATAAAGGCAGTACGCAAAATATCGTGTCTAGCAATTACTCGTTGCACGGCGTCTGTATAGCGTACAAGTGATGTTCGGTCAACGAAACTGAATTGGCTCACTATCAAGTATGGGTCGCCCTTTTCGGCCATCAGATGATGGAACAACATACCGTTCTGTAATGGAGCCAATCCATAAATATCTTGAATATTAGATACTCCGCCAGGTACCTGTGCAATAATTGCATCAATTTCTGACTGAGAAAGATTAATTAGAGGTAACATTTCTGGAGTAATCTCTGTGCTGTTTGTGGAAATAAGATTGGGCGGAATAGTCACTGTCTGGTAGTGCGTAAAGGTTGATGCCAACTTAGCCAGAGTGGGAGCATCAAACACCTCACGTACGGTGGTGTTCAGCCCGATTTTTCTCAAACGTGCCAACAAGCGAATGACCAACAGAGAATGGCCCCCCAATGCAAAGAAGTTGTCATTACGACTTATACGATCAATGCTTAGCAATTCACACCAAATATCGACCAGTTTTCCCTCGATTTCACCCTGTGGGGCTTCATACAATTGGAGAGTAAACGCATCGTCGTCCGGAGCCGGTAGTGCTCGTCGATCTAGTTTGCCATTGGGTGTGAGTGGTAGGGATTGTAGACACACATACGCCGCTGGTACCATATAATCAGGAAGTATCGTCGATAGGTAGGTGCGTAAATCCTGTGCTAATGGTGTATCTGAATCGGTCACTACATAAGCTACCAGTCGAGCATCTGATCCATTGCCGTGGGGCTGTACAACCGCCTCTTTCACCTGAGGATGTTTGACTAGATGGGCTTCAATTTCACCAGGTTCAATACGGAAACCACGGATTTTCACTTGCTGATCCATGCGTCCGAGATAGACCAGATTACCATCAGGCAGATATCGTGCTCGATCACCGGTACGGTACATGCGTGCGGACGGA